GCGGAATCCAATGAGGAAGACGATGTTTCTTCATGGGAGATTGAAGAGATCATGCCGCACTCGTTGCCGAGTGGAACGACTTTTGAAGAGTGGCAGAAGACCGTTTGCTTGCTACCCAAGGTAGAGAAGGAGCGTGAGTGGAAGGGCAAGTCGTATGCAGAGCTTGTGAATTTAATGTCTGAGAAGGACAAGGAGCTCCAGAAGTATCTCTCCTGGATTCAGGCCCGCTTTGCCAGTGAGTATGTCGGGGGTGTCCCAAAGAGTCAAGCAGTCGACTTGGCTGGATAGTACATTGACTTCAAGGGCAAGGCTGGTTCCGGATACCAGCGAAAGGTGAAGAAGGACAGTGAGCTCCTCAGGCGGTGATTCGCCATGGAGTGTGAGAAAGGAGTATTCTGTTAGATGCTGCAAACCGTTTTGGGAGAAATGAATGTTCAGAGTATCTGTTAGATTTGTGGTGTCGCTTTGGGTCTACATCCTTTTGGGAATTTTTCAAGCTTTGCAAGAAGCCCCTGTGAATGACTCACCGAAAGGGGGTGTGAAAGGAATGCGCCACATGGTGCACCGTGCGGTGTGCCATTCCCAGCTGTCTATACGTGTTTATAGTTGCACGCGTGTCGATAGATTTGCACATGCGCAGTATCATCCACGGATGATACCATTTGAAGGACTTTTGAAAGTTGCAGATCTTGATGTGCACGGTATCGCCTCCGGGCGACAATTATGTGCTTGGATTCACCTTCAGGTGAGGTTCTAGATGACCATATGCATGGTATCGTCTCCGGACGACAGTGTTTGAAGAACTTTTGGATGCTCTTCGGAGCAGCTGTGTATGTTGGAGACACTCTCGATGCTCTTTGGAGCATCTACGTGTTGGAGAATTTGGTGAATGTCTGATGGATGCCCACGACATCCATCCTGTGGATATTGTTTACATACCACACACACTCGTATCGCATACCCTGGGAGGTTATGTGTTTGGTTGCTTTTGGTTTCCCCTCTTTTGGGTATGACATCAGCCACACTGGGGGTGCACCCGCGAGGTGTGTCCTAGGATCCCTTCGGGGATCATCGTGCTGAAAAGTGTGGTGTCTGATGGGAGGAAACGCAAATCGCGTTTCCTCGTTTGCTTTTGGGGTTCATAACCTCCTGGGGGGGTGCTAGAGTGGTGGCACAGAGGAGATCTCAGTGATCTTTATGGAATTAGAAGGGTTGGACGTCACTAGGGTGACTTTTGGGTCCAATGGAATCCACACTAGGTTCGTTCGCCTTGCGGGAATCGTTCAAACGTCGTTTTCGGACGAACCACACTTGTTTTCGGCTCACCTTCAAGAGGATGGAGCACTGGAGTTTAAAGAAGATAGACATGGGCAAAATGTACACATTGTAAAGTACCTTGCGTTGGTTGTGTGTCGCGCAAAAGGTCGCTTGACGCTTGCGGTGCTGTTGGGTTCGGGCCTTGTGAGGTCGTTTGGGGTTCTGGTTTTTCGCAGTTGGGGTGTTTGGTTTTTTGTGTGTTTTGGTTCGGTGTTGCTTTGCTACTTGGTTCGTAACTCTCGCTTCACTAGCCTAAGGTGACTTGTGCATCCTCTGCGCGCATAGCGCCTCGACCCGTGCAAAAAAAAGACCTGGCTCGACGGTGATGCGTATATGTTGTCGAAGTGAGAAGGGAAGTCTGGTGCACTTGTCACCTTTATGCTGGAACACTTGACCCCGTTGAAAGTGTCGGAGTACGCAGTGGAGCAAGCGTGTTTGCAAGGAACAACTTTCAAGAACAGTCGCGCTCATGTTTCAAAACTTTGCGCAGTGTTTGTTTCAAGACTTCAAATGTGAAGTGGCTTGGAGAGCTTTACAGAGCATTGCTCATGAAATGCAGGGTTTGTGAAGACAAACTTTTGTAGCTTTTGTAGTGTGAATGGTTCTTGAACAGTCTTGTGCATGTTTAAATGCTTTAAGCTCGATACTTTCAGGACCTCGCATTGGAATAGGTTGTTACAGGAATGCCTCATAGCCTTTTGAACTTTACTTGTTTGATTTGCTGTGCTTTTGAGCGCTGTTGCAGGTGTTTTGTTTTGTGTGTAGAGCGTTTGTAATTTACCTATTTTAAGGTGGTAGGATTTTCACGATCTGAGCAAGACTTCTCGATAAGACACCAGGAAAAACAGAATGAGGACAAATTGATTTCCGAAAAAGAAACATCAGGTAAATCCTAGGCGAGTGCTCCAGCTTCGAAAGATCTAAATGTGGAATCTCACCGCAGGTAACGACATCTTATCTCCAGAGACGTTGGCTCCAGGGAGGGAGGGACGGGATCCGTCTTGAATGACGGATTGCGTTTTTAAGGGGGCGAAGCGATAGATGCCATGCCCTTCGATGATTAACTTGGAAGGGTCTGAAAGTGATGTCGCCTGTGATGGTGACTCCGACGCTGGTTCGCAATTTCCACCGCAGCCTCCTTTGTCCATGACTTTTGAAGATCCATTGATCCAACCTCTGACCGGGACAAGGTACGATGATATTTTGAACTCGGCTGCAGTTGATACCAAGCCAACGTCTTTCGAAACCAAGCAGCCTTGGGAGCGTGGACTCATGAAACTCACTTTTAACAAAGACAGTGTCAATCCATCCCTGCCTGAGGTCCAGGTTCACCCAATGCCGCTCCAGGTTCCTTCGTCGTCAGTCTCTTCGAGTGCAGCCGTACAACAGGCTGACGTACACGGACCAAAGCCCGACTCGACCTTCTTGAAGTGTGTCAGGAAAGTCGCAGACACCGATGATTGGACTAAACAAGATTCTTTGAGGAAAGCAGCCATCAACAAATTTTCGACCTTGATCTCCTTGAATCCTGCCGCCTTCCACCTCGGGAGAGTTGTGCAAGCTGAATCCACATTCATGGATTTCGAGGAAAATCTCGCCGAGAATCTGGAAATGATTTTTGGGTTGAAGTCAGCGGCAACGTTGAACAAACTTGCAAATGCCATTTATCTTTTTGTGAAAGCTGCAGTCGATCGTGACAGGGCCCCCTTCCCATCCAAGAGTCCGAAGTTGCCAACTACTTCTTTCATTTGATGCACTGGAAACTTTACACCCAGGGCGTCGTCCTTGCGTGAAGCCTTGAGGTTTTGCCATTACACCATTGGACTGGACGGCGCGCTAGAAGCATGTGACAGCGGAAGGGTGAAAGGGGCTTCGGATACTATGCTGGCCGAAAAGAAGCCGTGGCAGCCTGCAGACCCATTGACTGTTGACGAAGTCAGATCCTTCCATGATCTGATGAACAATTCCGACGCCTCACTGTTGGACAGAATGGCTGCGGGCACTGTTCTAGCAATGATCTCCCATAGGACTTTGATGAACATGGAGGTTACCTGGAACTGGGAACCACCACTCATAAGAACGCCAAGAAGGCACACCTCAAGTCCAAACTGCTGCCGATAGTCATCCCGGCCTACGGGGTCACAGGCGACTGTTGGGCAAAGAGATTTATGGAAGTGCGATTGGCCACTGGCTTGAGAGAACATGCGCCGAGGACTCCTCTGACCCCAGCACCTAAGGTGAACAGAGCAGGGACAGTTGATTGGTCATCCCGGCCACTGGACGCTGGAGAAATCATTGACTTCATTCGTGCAGTCCTCAAGCCGGAGAAGGGTTGTGAAAGGAAGCTGTCATCTCATTCTTGCAAAGCCACCGCCCTTTCTTGGTTAGCTAAATTCGGGACGCTCCGTGAAGACCGTGATGTTTTGGGTCGCCATGTTTCTTCGATTGAAGGGGCAGGTCCTTTGTACTCCAGAGATTTAGTTTCAGCTCCTTTGAGGAAAGACAGAGTGATTGCAATGACAGGCCGTGAGGGCAGATCGGGCATGATCTTGGCGGAGGAGCGAGAAGAGCAAGATGTAGTTTTGCTTAGTGATGTCGAAAGCCTGGAAAAACGACCTAGAGCCGAGGAGGCCAAAGCCAAAGAAGAGCCGGATTGGGCAGAAGCGATTGGGCAATGGGACTGGGAGGAGCTATCCCAAAGCTCCAGCCAAGAGGATGACGAATCCTCAGGAGATGAAGCCATTGCCCTAAACTCCAGCTCAGCGCGCGTGGAAGGTGGCCTTGAAGCCGATGGGCTGGAAGTCTATAGACGCAAGGTGTCCAGACTGGTTCATGCATGTGAAGCTGCTTTGTACCATGGCCTAGGCTACTGCTACACTCGCTGCGGTAGAAAGATCTCAGCCAATTTCGAGAAGCTCGACGCGCGCCCAGACCAATGCATGACTTGCTCTCACTGCTTTAGGCGCAAGAGCAAATGATCCCATGAAGGGAACCATGAATGAAAACCAGACTCCTCTCGCTGAACCCCAGAGAGAAAATTGTGAGGTTGAAGCTGCCGTTTTGTGCTTGTTTGTTTGTGTGTGTGTGTTGGGTTGAACGTTCGATTTATTTGATCAAACGCTCCTGAAGAGCTTTGTTGTAGAATGGGCATGATGCCTGCAAGCGCCTGAAGTGCTTTGTTTCTTGTCACGCGCACCTGAAGTGCTTTGAAGCTCACACTGTGTTGCTTCCTGAAGAAGCAAATCGGCTCCAGCCCTGATGGCATGGGGCGGGGACAGCGAGCAGTTTTCTTATTTCATGAACGACACTTGACGAGTTGACGAGGCATACTTGATGTTTACTCGATGTTTTTTTACACTGAGGTAGCCGCTTTGCATGTCATCGACTCTTCTCTTTTGTTTCTTCTTCTCTTTTTGACTGACTGTTCGAATGACACCTGTTGCCAGGTGGAAGGAACTATATACTGATTGACACAAATATTCACTTAGGTCCTGCAGCTCGACGCCATGTCCCTTCTCATTACTCCAAAGCGCAGTTCATGAGCAGGGCCCAGGAAGTTGGCCTGGGAAGGCCTTTGATAGATGCCTTGACAGCAGGAGGCATAAACATGTTGTCGAAGCTTGCCTACTGGATTGGTCAGCCGGGAGTCCATTAGACGACAACAAATTCGACCAATCAGTCAGGGCCCTGCTAGGTGCAGCGCCATCAATTGGCGACTCAGCAGCGTTGAAGAGGCTGCTATTCGAAGCTCAAGCCCTAACCATTCAGTCTCTAAAGAATGCTGTGGAAGCTCCAGGAACTGAAAGCTCAACGCCAAAACGTATTCCACAGGCTGAGAAGGAAGCAAGGCTTGCTGCCCTTAGGGCCCGCATCACAGGGCTGATCATAGAAGGAGTAAATGAGCCTGCAATAAGTCTTTTCGAGCAGACGCAGCATCAATACGAACAGAAGACGGTCAAATACCTGCCGCCAGAACGTTGTCCGTCCAGGGAATTCGAGATCGTCCAGATGAAGCCAGTCAAGCAGCTTGTTGTTCACGGGGGCAGTGTCATGGTAGGTGAGACCCTAGCAATGCCTGATACCACAGTGAATTCATCTCTTTTGGTTCAGCAAGCACTCATTCGCAGAGCCTTCCCTTACGAGTTTTCTGACCTGATCAGCTTCCAGATTTCTCAGAAGTACATCGGCACTCTTTTCAGGCACATGTCTCGTGAAGCTCCGCCGGGGTATAGACAGGTGACTTTGCAGAAGGCAGACAAAGCAGTTTTTGCCAAGCTAGCAGAGCTAGGGCCAGCAATCAGACGAAATGCTGCAGGCGACAGGCCGTTAGATGTCAAGATCATGGAAGCTTTGCAGTCGTACGAAGTGTCCTTTTATTTGTTTCCTTTAGCCATCCCAGAGAAGCCATCGAGACAAGATTGGAAAGAATTCCCTTACTGGCACAATCGCCTCAAAGGTGACAAGGGTTCAAAAGGTGACCGTGATGATAAAGGGAAAGGCAAAGGAAAGAGCAAGAAAGGAAAACGCAATGAACACATTGCAACATGGATGCCTCCCGGCCTGAAGGGAGGAAAGCCGACTGACAGTGAGGGGAAAGCGATTTGTTTCAACTACAACCTCAACAATTGCTCAGCTGCCGCGCCAGGCCAATCGTGTCCGCGTGGGCGCCATGTTTGTTGCAAGTGCTTTGAAGTCCATCCGTTCATCGACGTGCGCAAGTCGGACAGCGGAGGCCCAGCGAAAGCAAACTGACTCTCGAGGTTAGACGCCGTGCATGGAAAGCCATTAAGCGATGCGCTAATAATTCAAGTTTTCTCGGGTTCCGCAGGAGTGACTTGTTGGATACGAAAGTATGGCCTTGAATCCTCCTTTGGAGTCGATAAGACTCGTGCTAATTCACAAAAAGTCCCATCGTTGAGCTTGATCTTGAAACGCCTCAAGGCGTCACCCTCTTGATGGAGTTCTTAGCATGCCCGCGTGTGGTGGGGGTCTGGATGGCCCCCCCATGCGGAACGCCTGACGGACTTCCAAACCTAGATCGTGAGGATCGCGCAAAAGTGTTTTCAGCCAACAAGTTGTATTCTTTGACTGCGAAAATCGCAGACTACTGTTTTTCCAACGGCCTCTTTTTCGTGATAGAAAACCCTGTTCGAAGCCTGTTTTGGCTAACAACTCCAATACAAGCTTCCGCATTTGCTTTTCCAGTGTCACGTTGCATGTGCCTATGGCAGCAAACGTCCAAAGAAAACGATGCTTGCTTCCAATCACCCAGCGTTCATGCAGTTGAACCTTGCATGCCCAGGGAGTTCGTGCAGGACAACGTGTGCACGCCAGAAGGGGCCAGCAATTCATTAACAACCGCCGCATCTTCGCCGCCCGCGAAGAAAGCCAATATCCTGCAGGCCTTTGTTCGGCCGTGGCCCAGATAGTGCTGCAAATATGTCAAGAGTATGGTATTGTTTTGCCGCCGTCCTCCATGGAGGTGGCGGCTACCGAGCAGTTTCGCCTGTTGCAGCAAGCCAAAACCATGTCGCACGCCTTTGTCAGGACAAAGCTCCCCCCACTTGTCCCTGAGTATGCCACAGTCATTTCAGCCTGGCATGCCCCCACTACGGTCCCTTTCGGACAGTACACCAATGCTTCCTTCCAGGCCGAAGATGATCACGGCCTGGCCATCATGGTTCCCAAACAAGCCCGCCTTCTGCAGCGCCCACTGCGCGGGGGGGGGAGAGCAGGGGGACCTTGCAGAAGCCGAGTCTTGTAGACATGTCTGGGGGGTGCATTGCGAAATCCTTTGAACGCTTTGCCCGCTGAGTTGCAAGAAGCAGTAGATGACAACATCAGGTGCTCGCCCGGTTTCCTGGCGCAACGGAGGGTCGATTGGTTCAAAATGTGGATTAACAGGGCCAAAGAGCTCCAGCCACAAGAAGATGAGTTGCATCGTAGCTTTGACAGAGGCGCCAAGAAAGTGATGTCCGGAAAGCGTGTGCTGCTTTTTCGAGAGATGCTTGAGTATTCGGGCTATCCAGACTGCAAGGCTGCCGATTTCCTCATGCATGGTGTGCCTTTAGTTGGGGAGGTTGAAGAGTCAGGTGTGTATGCCGAAGTGTATAAGCCCGCCGAGCTTAGTGTAAGTACCTTGGAAGAACAATCCACTGGTTCCGCCAAGGAATCCTTGAAAGGACTCGCTCGTCGGGCGATGCCGTTTGTGATGACTTCGTTTGGCAAGAGACCCTGAAGGAGGTCGACCGAGGCTGGTTAAAGGGGCCTATTGAAGAGAGTGACCTTCCAAAGGGCGCTTCAGTCTCTCGCAGATTTGGCATTTGGCGAAAGTCTAAGTATAGTTGCATCGACGATTATAGTGGCTCATTAGTCAATAGCACATGCACTGTCTTAGAAAGCCCATTGCTTCATTCGGTAGACGTCTCGGCAGCCGTGATAGACCACTGGATGCGCAACCTTGGAAAACGCCAAAAGAACTGAACTGCTTGCGCGGAGCTTTGATTTGAAAAGTGCTTACCGACAGCTTTACCTAAAGGAGAGCCATCGAAACCATGCTTTCATTTCGGTGTTCTGCCCCGAAGAAAACGCTAGAAAGGTGTTTCAAGCAGTTGCCCTTCCCTTCGGGGCAGTGCAAAGCGTCTTCGCATTTCTAGGGTGGCTAGGGCAGTTTGGTACATAGCTGTCAAGTGCCTGTCCGTGTGTTGGACCAACTTCTTCGATGACTTTCTTGCATGTACCAGCAGTGAACTAGCATTTTCGACGCAAGCCACGATAGATTTGCTTTTCAGGTTGTTGGGCTGGAAAGTAGCTGAAGACAAAGGAGTTCCATTTGCAAGTTCTCTTGCTTGTCTGGGAGTGAAGATCGACCTTGAGCAATTCGCGTTTGGATGTGTGACCATTTCAAAAAAGCCTGAACGCAAGAGGGAACTGGCTGAGACGGTTCGCAAAGTTTTGCAAGACGGAAAGCTCAGCTTGACCTCGGCACAGAGCTTAAGAGGACGCATGCAGTTTGCCGAAAATCAGTTCATGGGTAGGATGGCCAGACGAGCACGGGCAGCAGTCACGGAGCACTCGGTCTTAGGCCGATTAGATGTGAGTTGCTCTTGGAGGTGCCATTTGGAAGATTTTCTAGGTGAATTGCTTGAAGGGCCCTCCAGAACCCTCAAGACCTTCACCAGAGACACGCTCTTCCTTTTCACCGACGCCTGTTTCGAACCTGACCGTTCTGATCCAGTAGGAATTGGTTGTGTTCTTGTGGGTACCGACGGTCGCCCGCTCGAGTTCATCGCCGGTTCCCCTCAGCCCTCAGCTTTCGGTTTGCGAATTTCTGGGTCTCGGCGCAAAAAAAACCATTATTTTTGAGGCCGAAATGTGCGCTTTGCTGGTTGGACTTAAGGTCTGGGGAGAAAAGTTTGCCAATCGCCAGCTTGTCGTGTATGTCGATAATGACGCAGTAAGCGGATCAAAAGCAAACTCCTACGAGAGGCTGGGAGCAGCTGGCATGATGCTTGAGCGCATTAATAGCATCGAGTTTTCTCGTCAGTTCCTCATGTGGGTTGCGCGTGTTCCCTCAAAGTCAAATGTGGCCGATGGACCATCGCGTGGCGATTACGCCGCACTGGAGGATGCCGGAGCATTTCGCGCGGAGTGTCCACTAGACTTCGCACCTTTTCAGAGGGAAGAGCTGAATGGGGGAGTTGCAGTTCCCCGCTGAAAAAGGTGCGTGAGCTTTTGACCACAC